AACCCGAAGAAAATCGGCGACAAACAATTAAATTAAATATCGAATTCGAATTCGAAAGGTGCGGCTAAAAGCGATCTGTCAGCGAGTGTAAGTGAATGCTACTATTTATGTATGTGTGTGAGTGCATGAGTGACTGCGTGTGTGTGTGTGTCAGTGTATGTTACGCCTTCGCCTTCATCTTCGTCTGCTGATCTTTTAATAGATCTTTCCTTCGATTTGGACGCTTGTCGACATATTCTCAGCTTGTTTCACTCACTTATTACCGTTAATGAGCCTTGGCCGTAGCTGTGGGTGTGTGTAAAAGCTGGTTGAGTGACAACAAGTGCTCAAAGGTATCCCTCTCTGAATTTCAACATAATACTTTGCAAATTACTAGAAGCAAAAAAAAAAAAAAAATGATTTAAGCTTTTTAATTAAAATTCTTTTTCAAAAACCTTTTACTGTTTCGAGATGAAAATATTTTACAGAATTTATTAATTAATTAAATTCATTTAATTTGTTTTGGGCTACACAAAAAGTTCATGAAATTAAATGTTTGTCCTTTTGTAAACTTTTTTTGAGCTTAATATATTTTTAAAATCAAAATTTAAAATGTCTACATTCAGTGACATTCCAATTAGTGTAGTTAGATAAAAAATAAAAGTTAAAAAGGAGCATTTTAATTGGACTCCAATTAACTAACAGTATCTTATCTCTGGACAGAAGCAGCATTTCAAAGAAATCTTTTATTTTTTGTACATTGCAGTCGAAATAAAATTAAAGCACAAATTAAAAAATACCGATTTTTTTTTTTCAAAAATTGTAAGAATTCTAATTTCAAATTCTTACAGCTATAAATGCACTTGTATGTACAAATTTAAGAGGTCAAATTAATTTTTTTTTTTTTTTTTTTAGATTTAACTAGGATTTTTAGAGTTTGCTTTACCTAGAGCAATAGTTAGAGTTTTAACTAGAGTTTCAACCAGTAATTTGACAGTTAATAAAAATGGGCAGACTAATTTAAGAAAAAAAATGTAGTTTAAACTACAACAGAAGCTGTCAAGCTGGCGTATTTAAGCCTTATTCCATTCCTTCATTGAGAATATATTAATACATGCCTAAAGGAATTAACTTTTGTACATCTCTTTTTTAAAATTTCGCTAAATTTTTTAGAAATTATGTCGATTGTATAATTTTTTCGCTTTAATCAATATCACATGCTTTGAAATCTAATTTAACTACATTATCGTCTTAGTTTATACGTCACAGATACCTACAGTAATACGTCAATCAAAGTTGTAAAATTTAAAATTGAAAATTCAATATCTTTATAATGTGCAGAAATACATTTATGAAAATAGCGCTTGCAAATTAAGCAGTTAAACAGCTCAACAAATCGCCAACGACAATGGCAGCAAATTGTGTTTAATTTTAAAACAAGATAAACTACAAACAAACAAAAATATCGAACAAAATGTCAATGAGAACTAAAAATAAAAGCAACTTATCTAAACAGAGCCGAAAAATTAGGTGAATGAGGCAGAAACATGAAACAAATGGCAACAATTGAACAACATAAATAAAGAAATAAAAGAACAAAGCAATGCGAAATAATTTTTATTAACAATTATTGAGTAGACAGAAAGTCAGAAAAAGAGAGTAGGAGAGAGATAAGTAGAGAGAGAGAGAGTGCAACAAGTCGGAGGCCTTTGAAGTGCAGCGGCGGCTTCTTTAACATCGAATGCGAGAGACTCGCAACAATTGCTTGCTGACATGCAAAGTACATAATGTTGTAGCAGAGCCCACCTGGTCGCCCCCTCTCCACTATCACCTGCGCCCAGCTAGCGCCTTGATTGATAACAATCAAAAGAACTAAGTTATGGGTCCATCCGAGCGGGCACTTTGCCACAGAGCGCAATTTGCGCTGTCGATTGATTTGTTTACAAGTGCCATTAATGTTACTCTCGCTCCCCGCGTCACCTGCCCCACTGCCCCACCGCCAGCACCACCAGCAACAGGTGTATGTAAATGCCTCCCTTTGCGCCGTTGCCGAACAGCATTTCCATAGACAGCTCGATCGAAACGCATTGCACTCTATACCTTATCTAATCAGAGCAAATGTGTTTGAATACACTGGGAGAAAAAATATAGATATTCTTAAAAGCAATATATTTCAAATTTGCTTAAATATCTTACAAAAATATTATAATTGGAAACTAAAAATCAATAAAAAAAAAATCAACTTTTCTGACAAAATAAAATTTTTTATTAAAATTTTAATTAAAAATTTATTTTGTTCATGAAAAAAAAAAAAGTCAAATTGATTTCTGATTTACATTTTTAAATATATTTGGGAAAGTTTGGGTTAATTTTAACTGTTTTAAAAATTGTACATATAATATCTATAATATATTTTATATATACAATTTTTGTTGGTATATAAAAAAAATTTTTTTTAGCATACAATAATAAATTAAATGCTTCAAATTCCGAAATAAAAAAAAACTCCTATTTTGTTTTTGTAAGTGCACAATTCATATAGCATATAGATCTTCTAGAGGGGTCTACGATGTTTTCTCACCCTATGGTCTTTACGTTTTGATCGCCGCAAAGTCCAATTGAGAAACATGAATTGTTGCTGTAGTTTAATTTACCGATGCCTTTGATTTTAACGCCATTCTAAAGATAGAGAGAGGGAGCTCTCTTTCCCTCGTATTCCCTCCCATTCCCTCCATCGCACGCTCTTCTACACTGCGCTCTTATCATTGCGACTTCAATTTGTTTTCAATTTACAACAATTTGGTTTTTAAGTATTTGTAAATATGATTTGTCACTTTGCGTTGTTTGCATAATATAAAATGTCATATTACTATTTCTGTTTTCTGTTCTGTTCTCCATTTCCTATTAATTTTATTTTGCTGTTATATTTGCTTTTATTAACACATGATACGCGGCACACTTGTTGAATTTATTGAACTGTCTAGCCATCGATGTGAAGGGGTTAGCTATTTCTCGGAACTGGATAGGGAAATATTTTACATTTTAGATAGTGTGAAACCTACTGAAATATAAATAAGTTTCAATTTTTCATTTTTATTTTTATTTTTTTGCATTCGCTTTAATTTATGAGAATATTTACTTGAAAACAATAAAAAAAAATAAAAAAAAATAAAAAAAACAAAGTTTTATAGTTAATTTCCTCCTGCATATGATTCAACTTTTCCCATATATATGTGTATGTATATTGACCAGCCACTTGTTGATAATTTTTATGATATTATTGCAGCTCGATTTCGGTCGGCTAGCTCTATGCAAACTTCCGCTCAACAATTTGTTAGTAAATAGCAATAATGAACACCATTTATAAATAAGTTACCCATTCACACTCGCGTCATATGACGGCTCACGTGCAATGCAACGGGTGCTTAAAGATTCTTCGATCCAGACGTTTTAGCTGGTCAGTTACACCAGAAATCACATTTTAGAGGCGACAAGGCAAGTGTTTCGACAGCAAATCAATTACTTTTCTTATCGTGACACCAAAATCGCCAGAACGTAAATGATAGAGTAGAACACCACAAGTGCACGGAAGAAGAGAGAGAGAGAAAAAGAGAGAGTAAGTAAAAGAGAGAGAAAGAGAGAGAAAAAGAAGGCACCTGCACTTGAAGAAAACACTCTAGATGTGGCAATTAAAACGATTTGAAGCTTTTAAAAAATAAATATGAAGTTTTGGAGACACAGAGAAAAATCTAAGTGAGTAAAATATTCCGAGAATCAGAAAGATAAAGGTTAGAAATGGCGAGAGAGAGAGAGAGAGACAGAGAGAGAGAAAGAGAGGGAGGGAGGGAGAGAAGGAAAGAAGGAAAGGGAGAGAAGCAAGATGCAAAAAGAAAGACGGATAGAGAGAGAGAAAGAACGATATATAGATAGAAATAGAGCTAAAGGGAGAGGGTGGGAGAGAAAGTGATAGACAGTCAAAAAAGCGGGCAGGAGAGAGAGAGAGAGCAAGAGAGAAAGAAAATATGACGAAGCAGAAGGAACAGAAGGCGAAAAAGAGAGACATAGAGATAAGCAGAGAAGAGATTCAGAAAATGCCCTATCAACCTTAAAAGCTAAGCTGGAGAGAAAATAAAAGAGAGAGAAAAAGTAACGAAAGCAAAGAGAAAGAAAACAGAAAATTAAGCGAAAGAGATTGAGAGAGAGAGAGAGAGAGAGAGAGAGAGAGAGAGAGAGAGAGAGTGAGAGTGAGAGAGAAGAAGAAGAGATGTACGTACTCTTAATGGCGACTCTGAGTTTCCTTCATCTACTTTTCACATATTTGATGCTGTATGCAAATCATTTTCATTCTCAAACAACTTTAACTCCCAGTTGATTCAAATAATTTAGCGCAACTCGCGACTTTTCAAATATTTATAAATGAAAACTTGTTTTTGCTGATCCTCATGCATTTTCGCTGAGTGTAGTTGTTAACAGGAGGGTTGCAACTGTTTTTAATAACAACATTTTAAAAAGCACTTAACAGCAAATTAAGCTTTCAGCGAGCAACTGACAATGCCAGCAGCAGAAGCAGCAAAAAGAAGACATTTTTAATTATCAACCATTTACAGGCAACGGCAGCAGCAACAACAGCAACAGCAACAACAGCAACAGCAACAAAAATTGCCATGGAAAAAATTGCTGCTGGTGCATGGGTCAATATCATAATCTGAGGCAGCAACAAGTTGTGGCAGACAGCAAGGCAAGGCGAAGGGGCAAGCAACGAGCGTCATAAATCAAAGCGACGCAATTTGCTGCCTGACGAACTGCAACAGCAGCAGCAGGAGTAGCAGCGGCAGCAGCAGCAGCAGGCATCAACTATGCCATTATTGCTGGCAACACTTGGTCAGCAACAGCTGCAGGCACAACAGCAGCACCAACAATCACAGCAGCARCACCAACAGCAGCATCAGCATCAGCCCCAACAGCATCAGCCAAACAATTCCCATCGTCCAACAGCAACAGCAGCAGCAGCGGCGGCAGCAATGTTGTTGCTGGAGACAGCAGCAGCAGCAAAGACAACGTCGGCAGTAACTGCAACAGCAACGGCAACACACACGCCAATCATTGCTGCACTTGCAACAACTCCATTGCCGGCAACGGCCACAGCAACAACAACAGGTGTTAATGTTCAAATTACTGCCAAAGGCGTTGCTCGCTACGAGTCTTCAGTCAATGATCAACTGCCAGCAGCCGCAAATGTGGCCGCATCTGTTAATTATGCCGCATACGTAGCCCATTTGAATGGCCTAAAACACAACAGCAGCAACATCAGCAACAGCAACAACAACAACAACAACAACGTCAGCCAAAGCCCACCTCCTTATGAGAGCAGCCTGCTCCCACGCCAGCCTCACATTCAAGTCAAGCAGGAATTCATGGAACCAGCGGAGCACATGGAGCATCCCACCGGAATGAATCACATAAATGCCAACAACAACAGCAACAACAACAGCAACGGCAGCAATAAGCAAACAGGTGAGCAACTTTCATATTATTACAAATGCAAATTGGGCGGGAATCAAAACGGAAACAACTTAGAACTTTTTATTAATATAA